ATGCTCAAGTCAGTTGAGCTAGAAATAAAGACGAGTTAAGGAGCTCAGTAAGTGGTCGATCTGAATAGTGAAGAGATCCATGGGTGAACCAGAGAGTTGTACCTTAACCTGGTCTATCTGTTGAACCTATGAGAGGCAATGTCATGTGCATTTGGTCGGTTTGTGGGCCCACAATGGGTGTGTGGCATTGGTGATATAATCGGCTCAGCCACGTGTAGTATCCAACGGCTCTGATTCCACACATGGCGCATGGTCCAAGATGCACATTCCACTAGGAATGGCAAATGGGTAGGTTCCGGGCAAGGATTATATTCTCCATCCCCTATCCCAACTTTCAAACATACCCCTATCCCCAAACCCATTCCCTGTGGGGGATAAAAATTACCCTCCTATCTCTGATCCCTAGTGGAGACCTAGGCAAGGACCTAAATTCTCAAAATTTTTAAATTAAAATTATTTTTAAAATGTATAAACATTTTAAATATATTTTGATATAAAATTCAACTATGATATAGAAAAGATATGATATCTGAAAAACTTCAGACTAGTCAACTGGAATGATAAACGTGGTAGCCAATTAGTTATCAAATTCATGGATGGGTTTTGATTGGCCAAAACTCTTCCCATACCATATCTTTTCCACATCATAGATTTTCCCTAATATTATATATGTATATATTTAATATATATAATCTGGGTCAGGGTGGGGTGGAGAATTCACTCCCTATCCTGTCCCCGCCAAGGCAATCTTCATCCCTGATCCTATCAGATCAGGGAAATCGGATACCTGACAGAGACGGAGAAAACTGCCATCCCTACTTCCAACCCTTCTCTTTGGAAGACAAATAGTACAATAATGTAGTTCTGACTGCATAGGCAAACAGATTATACAATTTAAGTATTTGTTTTTTGTGTGTCAATTTCAGTGATAGGACCCAAAACAGATAGCAATAGCTCTTAATGAAAAGTAATGCATATCTAAGGGTCCAATTGGTTTGCAAGAATAGGAGTCTGGAATCATAATCGGAATGGGCTATTCCAATTCCAACTCTTTGGTTGGGCCAACCTGCTGGAATGGCATTCCCCCATTTGAGGGAATGGCCATTCCCAGCCTCTCCCTTGGGAATGAAATCACATTCCTATTCCTGTCTGAACCAAACAGATTATGGGAATGGACCATTCCGATTCTGATTCCAGAGGATTTTGATTCCGATTTCGATTCCAACTCCAACTACGAACCAAATGGACCCTGAATGTAGTATAATGACCCTTCAGATTAGGTTAAACAATTTATTAACTAATGTATATAATACTTAAAGGAGAACCTTTAGCTATAAGAACTTTCCCTCATTTTTCTGTTTCTCTATTATTTTCTATCAAAACAAATACATTATTAAGGGATTAGATTTAAGTGCTGCTTTATTTTTTTTCATCTTATAAACCTGATTACATTTCCTTCAAATGATGATTCCGGTAAGATGCAACTGTAACTTATAATACACAGGGGATAGAAAAGAAATGGGTTGGGTTCTTGGAGCAAGCATCTACCTGAACATATACGTGCTTCAACTCCACCCCTGCCTCCTACAGCAGCAGTGTTAAAAAATGGATCATAGTCACCAAGGATTGGATACGAAACTGTTTTGGCCACCAATTTCTGGGTCAAATGGTCCAATTGTCTGGTCCAAATAGATGGTGCATTCTGATTAAAAAAAATAAAAATTTAAAAAACAATTAAAATAAAAACTGCCAAAAACCGTTGTCCAAGTTGATGAATCGATGGTTTAACCCCCCCGGGTCAGCGGGTTGCTGACCAAGGCAATGGTTTTTGGCCCAAGAACGGTTTTAGGGTGAAATGGAACCTATTGCCTGGAAGGTTTTTGGGTTAACAGTCCGATTGTTTGATCAGATCCAGTTTTCAAAACCATGATAGTCACACATGTTCTATTGCTCAAACAAACTTCATTAGGTGCACAACAACACAAGTTTAAACAAACTACATATCAACTTTCTGTTTCTCCCTTATTTTTCATCAAACCAAACACAAGGAAAAGTGGGTAGTGGAGGACCAGTGCCAAGTCTATCCTAGTATTATCACCAGAGCAACTTGTTTGCTTAACAAACATAAAATTATTTCCATGGTCAAAAGGAAAAAAAATCAATGCATTCATTTCATCATCATCATAGCCTTGTCCCAATTATATGGGGTCAGCTATATAAATCTTCTTTTGCCATTCCATTAAGGCCCCGTTCGCTTTTCGGTAAGTTACTTATCCAAGTAAAATACAATTATTTGGGTAAATTTTTCTTGGGAAACACTTACTCGGGTAAGTATATTTACCCATGTTCTTTTATTTCCAATGTAAGTAAGGCAATGGCCATTTTAGCCATAGAAATCCATTATTAAAAGGGGCATTTTTGTCCCATTCAAGTGTTGGTAACTTTCCCCTTATGTGGAAAAATTATTTACCCACCTAGAAGATGGGTTTCAATTTCTTGGGTAAACGATACCTAAGAAAATAAACTTTCCCTAGTCCCCACATAAAGCTGAAAAAAGAATATGAGATTCTTGGTCAATGGGAACCAAAATCCCATTGACCAACTTTCCTCCCTCTCAAAATCTAAAAGTAGAAACGCCCCCTAAATGTCGTTGTCATATCTATTGTTAAATTATGAACACTTAAATCACTCTTTATTACTTTCACCCAATCTATAAGTTTTTTCCATTTCATTTATACCACATTTGTTTGTTCTCGAATATATAATTGGAATCAACACTATATGTAGATGGTTCATATTTGACTTAGGGGCTGTTTGGCAAGTTTTTTTGGGAAGATCTTCTGGTAGCTCTGACAATTAAAAGACACATTGAGCTTTTGCATGAAGATCTAAGCAGCCCGAAGCTAGTTTGGCTACCACATGTCTTTCTGTGCATCTTTTTGTGTCTTTCCGCACGAGAATAAAGCGAGAAAGACACAAAAAACTCCATTTGGAGCTTTCCAAAATCAGCCCAAAATGGGCTTCTTGTGTCTTTTCGGTGCACCAACTTTTGGCAGATAAATCTATTACAAACCAAACAGAAAAAAACCACTGCTTGGTCTGCCCGGCTTATAAACAACCAAAAGACGGTACAGAAAGACATGCCAAACAGGGTCTTAATTACACCTTAACATATGTTTGATATGGGTAATTGGCTTCCAAAGCATCAGCATCAGGAAAGATCTGTAACCAAAATGTTTATTATCTTATCTTGCACTGATTACTTTGGAGTTTGGACTGAATAAGACTAAGAATTTGCAAAACGAGTAAATAACAAGAAGATTGGCAACTTATGGCAATTGAGATTTGATGATTGAATGGTTGGAGAACATTACCATTAGTTTACATTGAGGAAGGTGTGTGCGTGATGAACTGACCATTCAAGGATCATAACAACAATTTCTAAGACTACCATCAATGTTTAGCCAAGACCCATAAAGCAACTTTCTTTATTGTTACTAATTTACTTTCTACTTTTTATGCATCTCTTCATTCCCTTGTTGATCAAGTTAACTGCTAGTTGTGCTTAACTGTTTATTTCTCTAGTAAAGTAGGTAAAATAGAATTCTCAAAATTGAGATTGGGAAGTATGATTTCTTTAACACTAATGCGAGGGTGTTGCATTTAACTTTTATAATATGCACTAAAATCAAGATAAATATCCATATGGATATGAAAGAAAGGAGGGGGATTCTGTTTCATGGTTATAACCTTCTTTATCCAAACTGAATTGTTTTTAATTTTTTATATAATGTACTTATTTCATAGACAAATTTTATATTTTTACTTTTTATCACAGTATATATTTTTAATATGATATTTTTAATTTTATTTTATATATAGAACCTTTTCTACATAAATAAAAAATAATAATACTAGCAAAAAGAGGGGGATTCTATCAAAGTAGAGCTAAGCAAGCAATACAAAATTTGCATGTAAGAAGGTAGATTGCAATCTTGAAATTTGTATTTCTGTCCATTACAACCAAACACAAGATAAAGCTTATCAACAGTGTTTTCAACCTGTTATTGACCCGGTTAGTTGAACTATTCGAATCATCACCTAGCCAGGATTTTGGGTCCAATTAAGTCAAAACCCATCAGCGCAGTAAAAACCCATTGACTTGGTCAAGAATTGTCCAACCCAACTGGTTCAATCGTTGACCCATTTGACTCGATCACCAAGTCATGGGTTGCACACTCAATGCATGCAAATTTTCGGAGGACATAACTTTGCACTATGATATTCGATTGGGGTGATTTTTCTTTGGGGTAACTTTTGAGATCTATGCGTCCCAAGGTACCCTGTTATATTTGCGGGAAAAACCCTTTTTGGCCTCAAATTGCAATTTTTAATATTTTATAAATAATAAAATTAAAAACTGAATCAAAAGCATAAATTAAATATAAAAAATACATATAATATATCTAAAACATAATTATATATTATTTATTGATAATATATATATATATACTGTACGCATGTATGTATTTATATAAATATATATACCTTAAGTTCATGTGGGACTGTCTGACCCGTGCGATCCGGATAGTTAAACTGGTGACCCGTGAGGCAAAAACAGTTTGGCCTCCGGGTCGTTTTTAAAACATTGCTTATCAATGCTCAGCTGAACCAAATTTGCACTTTTTTGTCAAATTTGCATATACCTTTTGCGTTCTTACCAAATGCAACTAAAGTAAATTTTGCTCTAATATTGAGAAAAAAAAAAAGCAAATTTACCTTCATTCTAAGCACAGAAAACGTATTCTTAACAAAAATGGCAAAATTGAACTCGAGTACAAATTTGCTTCGACTCTACATTTACAATCTTAAACGAAAGGAGTTCGGATCACCTGCCAACTCGGGAGTAAACACGATTATCGGATCGCATCGAGTTAATTCGACCGGGTGGCATACCGAGTTATCTGAACCTTTTTAAGTGAGAACTCGGATACTCAGACTGCGAGGCTTACCGAGTTATCTGGGTTATTGCCAACAGGTCATCTGCGCTTCAACCTCGCAAACCTATTTAACAACTGTAACAGCGTCGGCGCTCTTCTTTTGGATTCCCAGCTGGGGAGAGGGAGATAGCGGTAGAGCTTGCAAAGGATGGAGCTGCAGGAGCAGAAGTACCAGATGGTTCAGATCGACCTTGGGAATCTAATGGCGTACGACCGCCATCATCACTTCCCTTCTGTTCCCTCCGAAAGGTCAGGGTTTAGGGTTTTTCCTTTAAAAGCTACTATTTTCCATCATGCGTGTGTTTCGTTCTCCTACCCTGGTTATTCTTGTGTATTTGTACTTTTTGGTATTTGTTTGCAATTCTTTGACATAGGTTATACCCGGTTTGGTTTCTGAGTCTTCCTTTCGAACTTCTGTATTTATTGATTTTTCTAAATAGTTATTATTTTCAGGAGGGAGTTATTTCCTTTGCCTTACTATATAGCTTAGGTGTTCTTTTCCTGAGTTTCTTGGTCTTTCTTTGGTGGGGGGGGGGGGATTCGATTTTGCAATGATGAGAGTTTGTTTCAAGTTTCAGGGTCTCTTTTTTATTGCTATTCATTCAGTCTTATAGCCTAAACACTTCCAAAGTAGATATCGGCTTGAGTAGAAAGCCTCGCCATTCGACCAATAAATTCCAATGCAAATATTTACTAGTATTGGGGCAGTGGTTTGTTGTTTGTAGAGATTACGTTATGCACATGCAAGATATCTAGTTGATAGAGATAACTGGAAGCTAGTATATGCCAGTGTTTTTGAACTGAATAAGTATTACTAGTTCTGTAATTATGTTTGATGGAGATCAATTATGTGTTGCTGATTAAAAAAAAAAAAGAAAAAACAATTAGGTTTGATGGTATCCTTAAGTTTGATATGGGTTGCACGGAACAGGAAATGAGTTAATAGCAACTAGGCAAAGCCATGGTATTGCTATTTTCTGTCACCTTTTGAAGAATGTCCAAGGCAAGGGTACCTTAGAGAGGATTCAAAACCTCTCCAAACTATTTTACTGTTTTTTTATTGGCTGTGTGGTTATACTAGAGACCTAGTACAATCCTATGTTTATTAATTTTATTATGGAAGAACTAACATGACTGAGATGAATTGTGGTGGAAAAATTGATGTATAGAACTGAAATAGGAAGATGAGTCAGCTGAGGTGTACAACTTGATTGAAATATAAAATCCTCATTACATGTGGAGTAAAACTTAATACCTTATAAATATAACACATAAAAGACTAGGAAAGTATGATTTTTCCAAGTTATTAGCCCATCGAGGCATTGAACCATTTTGCTTGTAATGGTCCAAAATAAAATTCTTACTAGGCATTTTGTACTCTAAGTAGGGATTTTCTTAACAGATTTGAAAGTTAACTCCACAACAATAATTGCAAGATGAAAGTAGAGAATTTCCATCTAAGTAACCACCAATAACTTTAAGCATAATAATCTTGACTGCTAGATCTTAATCAAGTCTAGGTTCTTTTATTGTTGTAAAATACTCGTTGTTCTGAAATCCTTCCACTGTAATACTTTTGTTAGGAGAAACTTATTGTATTATTGCTATTATTTTTCTGTTTATCTAGGGGAGAGCTAGTGAAGGAATGTCTACAAAAAGGTACTGAGTTGGTCCAAGCGATTGCAGATGTCCTTTTCAACTTACCTTCAACAGAAGACCGTGATGGACCTATTGTTCAATTGCCTCCACCTACAACAAGGTTGCCTAGGGAAAAGCATGTAAGCCTTCTTTTCCTTTTTTTGTTCCTTTCCCTTTGATTTTTGTTCTCCCTTCTTTCTTTTTTGATAACTTATTCTCCCTTCTCTTTTCCCTTCTTTCTTTCCTTGAATTTTATCCATGATGTAATATTTAAACCTAATCCATTTAGTCTGTTTTGCTTCAGAGACTTCTCTCCTTGGATGCATTTATTTATTTATGCATTAGCATTCAGAAAATGATATTATGCACAGGTACATAAGCATGCCCATGTACAACAAGATGCCATACACTGAAATAGGATTGAGCTCCCAAAAGGAGTAATGGGGATTTTGTTTAAAAGAAATCTAGTACGGCCCCAAAAATAGAAGACCCAAGGGAACCCCTGAATAATTTATCTATCCCAATCCAAGAGAATGCATGTCCCTTTGTTCTTCTCATCAACAGTACTTGCTCCAGGCTGTAAGCATTTTAAAAATTCTAGATTTTCATTCAAATTAAATTCTTATGAATGATGGAATATTTTATACACACCTCTCGGTCCTCTCCTTTTTTGGGGAAAACTTACAGATTCCAATTGACTAATAAACCCATTATAGATTCAGAAAAAACTAGTTGATTCCAAAATCCTAATATGTGGAAAAAAAGACCTTAAGAATCTGTTATATGCAATGAAAGAATATGTAGTTGGCTGATGCCACCTCCTTCAAGAAAAGAATATCTATTATTTTTTTGTTTGATTGGTAGAAAACCGCCATTAATCATCACCGAATCTCAACATAAGATTATACTTTACCTTTTCTCAGGAAAAAAAATCATCTAATCTCTACCTTATCCAGAGAGACATTTTCCTGAAGTGATGCTACTTGATTGGGGGTCACATTATAGATGCTAGGGGCAACCTTTTTTGGATACAAGGTGCCTGAAAAAAAAAGGAGGAAAAGAGGCCAATGTTTGGATTCGGTGCAACAGTGAAATGCTGGACTGACAAACATGAAAATGTAGTTTGAGTGCAAAAATGGCCACTTTGTCCAAAAAAAACGCCAAAGGTCAGGACCATATTCAATGCACCCCTCCCATGACCCTGGATAGCTGGGACAAATATTGTAATGGTCCTTTATAAAAAATGGGATAGTTGTTAAAAAGGAAAAACATTAACATAGATGCATAAATCAGTGTAACGATCATAAAGAAAACAAAGATTTATAATACTAAGTTATAAAGTCTAATAAATTAACCACTGGTGTCCAAATTTTGCCCTAATATTTGTAAGGTTTGTTAGTTGCATATTACAGGTTTGACAAAGAGAAGGGCCCCCATTAGTGTTGTGTTACTATTGGTGTCCACATGTATTTGACTTGAGTGCAGCACCTATTTTAAAATGCTCATGTAACATAGGATATAAATTGTTAATTATTGTAAAAATGATACACAGAAATGGCATGAAACGAGCAAGATGTCATGGACAGAATTTGTGGTAAAATTGAAATGTTCAAAGTGGACTTGAACATATTAGAAAGGATTCTTTTTTGATATTTTTTTGTAAATCTTTAGGACGGGTTCAGGTAACACTGGTATAAGCCGAAGCAAGATAACTCATAATCATTGGCTTTTGGTAGGTGTACTGGTGAGTTTCCAGCATATTTCTGAATCATATGACCCACAGTTTTAATAGTAAAGCTTCAAATTAGCCCCCCCCCCTCCCCCGAAGAAAAACAACTAAATCTTTTCCCAACATATGAGGATGGCTACCTGAATCCCATTTTACCATCTTATTCTGATTTCTGTCAAGTTCCACACTTCCATGTCCTTTGCTAAATCGTGGGGCCTTAAATCAATTTTCACTTCTATCAAAAAAATATATATTTCATTTTCACTACCGCATTCCAATGTTCTTTTTCAGTCTTTTCCTAACTCCTCTAGAACTACAGATGGTATAGGATGACTCCCTAATAATGCAGTAGGTGGTCCTCTATGCACATGCCCAGACCATCTTGGTCTATTTACCCCATCTTAGGAATTTTCGTTCTGTAATTTAAAGGCCTATTATGGCCATAGTCTGTGGCACTTGCAATACTCATTAATAATTATGTTAGAACAAGTGACCATGCCAGAAGCATAATATCTAAGTTCTTTGTTTTTTCTAATTAAAGAAAATTTTATTAATTCAGAGGTTCAAACTGATAGAAATATCCCTTAGAGAGGTGCAAGCTGCGGCTTCTCCTAACAGAGTACAAATTGATTGGCCCAATACAATTGTTCCCTACTTGCCCCTTGCTTGGCTAAACAACCAGCCAATGCATTTGCTGATCTCCTCACCCACTGCATTCTTATAGACATGTTTTGTGTCAGCCATTTAAATTTCTTGATTTCATTCTTGTAACACCACACAACAGCTTCTGGTCTCTTCAACCACATCACCACCACCTTGAAATCCCCTTCAATCAGTAGTTGCTCACACCTAATTGATAAGCAAACTGCACTCCTTGTAAGGCAGCTAGTAATTCTGCCCTAATAGAGTCCCCAATTCCAACTTCCAAGAGGACCCGAATAAAGAAGTACAACATCTCCAAACTCATTTCTCAAAACCCCTCCCATTCCAGAGGGATCAGGGTTGCCTCGACTACTCCCATCAAAATTCAGCTTTAAAGAATCTTTAGGAGGGGTGCCCAACTTGCCATTACCCTATTCTTTATGAACATCCTGCTACTGGTGACCAATTCCTCCATATATCATTAAAGGAGAAATGGTGGAATAACTCCAAAGTCTTTAACCAGTAAATTACTCTAATCAACACATACTCCTTCAATTCTTGGCTTCTCTCCTGTTGGAAGATTGTAGCATTTCTTTCTTCCCAAATTGTCCAAATCAGAGCTGCTCTGGCACATCTCCACATAATCCTTTGTAGGCCAGGTGGAGGTAGAAGGGTTAAAGAGCATGCTTACTTCTACTGGCAATTGGTAAATTCCACTTGCACCCAAACATCAAGAAAAAATTCCCATAACACTACAGCAAAAGAGCAGGAAATTAGTAAGTGGTAGCAATCCTCACCATGAAACCTACAAAGGATACACCAGTTACGTGAAATACAAAGGAACGGTCTTCTCTTTTGTAAGCCATCCAAAATGTTTATTTTCCCATAAAACACTTCCCACCAAAAGGTTATAATCTTAGGGGGAACAGGCCTGCACCAAACTTTCCTTAATAGGGAAAGACTGCTGAGAAGGAAACTGGCAGAGGGACTTAAAGAAAAAAGCACAAGAGAATGTCCCTGTGGGCCTGGGAGTCCAAAACCGTTTGTCTTTCTCGGAGAAGCAAACCTTGTTCAGGAGACAAAGCAAACTAGATAAGCAATCAATCTCCTCCTCCCTTAACCGTCTACAGAACCCAGAGCCAGAGGAATTGCAGAGGATAGAAATTATGAAACAACCTCTTTTTTGTACAAAGAGATAGAATAAAGAAGAGAAGAGGTCCTTTAAGTTAAATATCTTGTACAGTGCTTTGACATTTGTGCACCGATAAGTTAATCAGGTGGTCTGAGACTGAGTGGATCAAGCCCACCCTAGCTCTGTTCAGACTTGTTTGCCTACAAAGTTGCTTGCCAACTCAAACTTGGTCTCAGCTTATTGACAACCCTACTTGGAAAGCCAGTTACTCCAACATCTGTAGACTGCATTTTTTCCTTGGTTGTGCATTTTTGTTTTTGTTTTTTTTCTTTTTTCCTGGATGCATTACAGCATTTTCTACTTATATATGTTAGGCACAGATTCTTCATTTCTCATCTTAATTTGGTGATGTTTTTCAGCTTCCAAAGCCTAAGCCCCCTACAAAGTGGGAACTATTTGCCCAAAAGAAAGGTTAGTCATCTCAACTATTTTTATATTCTGTCATACAGGCAGCTTCAGTATTTCATTATAAAATTTACTTCTTAAGTTAGGGAATCAATTATGTCAAGATTGAGAGATTTGAATTGAATCCAGAGCTAAAACTGGTATCTGTTATTAATGTCAAATTATGTAACCTGTGTATTCTGTCATATTACTCACATCAATGATATATAAACATTTCTGATTCCTAGACCACGTTTTCCTCTTCTCTCCTTTTTCTTTCTTTTGTGTTTCAGGTTTTCTTCCAGGTTCCTTAGCAAAATTCCAATGTTTTTTATGGTACTGCATGTTAATATTTTTTCCAGGTATAAAGAAGCGCAAGAAAGACAAGATTGTATATGATGAACAAACTGGTACTTGGAAGCGTCGATATGGCTATGATCGCGTAAATGATGACAAAGATGTACCTATCATTGAGACCAAGATGACTGATGGTAAAAATGTTACCTTCCCATTATTCCCTTGTTCAAAAAGGCACAAATTCCAGTATTGAATTTTAATGATTGGAAGGATCTAACTAAGAGTTTATTTTACTTGAGAGGTTATTAGGAATAACTAAAATTTTGCAATTGTTATTGGAAGTAACTAAATTGTAAGCATCAAATCTCCAAACTCTGTCATATCATCCCAACCTAATAATTGGAGGTTTTGTTGATTTTATTTTAATGTCAAATGTTAAACAACAAAAAAAGAGAGGAACTTGTAAATGCAGCAAGCAGTTAAAAAAAAAGTAGTAATTATGAAAATGCAAACTCCAAACTACATACACTAGAATTATGAAAATGCAAACTTTTCCTTTCACATGACATAAAAAGGATATGTTAAAAGGTCACATTTAGGGGTGTTCAAATTTGGATGATAAACTGAAAACTGAACCGAACTGAATCGAAAAAATTAGTTCGATTTGGTTAATTCGAGTGTCGGTTTGGTTCGGTTTTTGTTTCTTTAAAAATTCGGCTTTTGGTTTTTGGTTTCAGTTCGGTTTGGTTGAGATTTTCAACGAACCGAACCAAAAACCGAACTAGCGGTTGTATCTAATTAAGTTTATTAAATATATAATATTCTATTTAATACTTTATACTTATTAATTAATAATTGTTATCTTTTCCAATGGCCGATTCGCAAGTCTCCATTGTGCTCTAGGCCCATTCTAGATTTTTAATTAATAATAGTTAATTAAATTGTTCGGAGACTCTAAACAACTAAATTATTAAAACCTAGACTAATTATTAATTATTCATTAATTGTTTGTGAAGAATGGGTATACTTGTTTTAATAATTAGTTATTAATTAATTGGTCATTAAATGAGTGTAGTGTTGTTCATTAAAACCTAGACTAATTGTTAGAACCTAGACTAATAACTAATTGTTCATTTAATTATTAAAACTGAACCGAATTGAATTCGATTAGGATCGGTTCAGTTCTAAACTCTAGTTTGGTTGGGAGAGATGGTCAAACCGAATAGTTGGTTAGGTCATCGGTTCTAACCGGACCGGCCAATTTGTACACCCCTAGTCACATTAAAGAATAGACCAGAGTCGGTACACATTCAAACCTTTTCTTTTGCCCGGGTGTTAAGACATTTTAGAAATTTTCTGTCAGGAAATATATGAATTCAATGAACTTAGCCAAGTTGATCAATGAGTGGATCATAACCCNCCCCCCCCCCAAAGTTGTGTTAAGGTGATGTATTACCAAATTCTCTACAACTAAGCATCATCTATATCACTTTCCATTCTATGGAGAAACATGTAAGATATATGAATTATTTATTTTTTTATTGTAAGCAGAAATAAATTTCACAATGTTCTAAATTTTATCAGCTTGGAATTTTTGAAACAAATCCAATATATTATATGGTAAGTTGATTAATCTTTCTCTGAGATGGTGTGGCATTTCTGCAGAGCCAGGAGAAGATCCATTTGCCAAGAGAAAAGAAGAAAAGAAGAAGCGAGTTGAAAAACAGGAAAAGAACCGGTTACAGAACCTGAAACAAGCTGTTAAAGTTGGTGCATTGCCAAGGTTTCGTCTTTTCACCTTTGATTCAAGGCATATGGTGCATATATTATCTGTTAATTTACATAACATTGCACCCACAAATATCTAAAAAAGGATATCACGAGGTTTAGGATAGAGTGGTCTCTACTTTGCAAGTTACTAATAGAAAACCTCCTTTCTGACTTATCAAAAAAATCCCTTTTACTGGAAATAGACAGGAAACAAACAGGCTGTAGAAGCTGACAGTTAGACCTCCTTATGTCAGTTATGTGATTATGTCCTCCCAGATGATCCTGGTGGAAAGTTTCCTTCCTGACTTCCGCAATGGTCCAGGGATGCTAAAAACTGTAGCCCTATTGCCTTCCCTGTGAACATGAGAAATCTTGATTATTCATATTTTATAAATGAAATATCTTGACCATTATGTTTTGGTCCTACTAAAAAAATGTATTTAAATTGACTATTCAGTAAATATCGAGACAGGAATTTTTCAATCAGGGTAAGCCTGTTGACATATAACAGGGGAGGTTTCTGACTTTCTATTAGACCATCCAGCTAGCACCCTGCTGCAGGAAATTTAAGCAAGAGAAACCCTAGGGAACAATTTTTCCAACACATCTTTTTCTAAAACCTCGAGAAAAAATATAAGGAAAAACATGAGCATAATTTTTTTATGAATAATTAAGTATTTTATTAATAATAATAATAAAACATGAGCATAAAGTGTTTCTAGAGAACAAAATATGCTGGTTTATATGCTTTACAATTGCCCTGTTATGACTACTTCAAACCCTATTAATAAATACTAACAAAAAGGTTTATATAACGATTTTATTTCTACCAATAGCAAAGCCATATAATTGCCACATAATTAATTCCATCTGGAGTTTGACTAAAAACTCCTTTAGGTCTATTCTTGTAGGTCTTGCCTATGTCACCCGTTCATTTCCTCATAAACTAATTCTTTTTCTTTATGTGTATTGTAGTAGCAGTATTCAATTACTTAACTATTTAGAAGACCTGAGAAAATATTTGTTGCAGCCATGTTCAACTTGCTGCAACAGCATTGCCCATAACAGGAACCCAAAGTGCTCCAAAGAAAGTTACTAAAGATGAGCTAGGGAATGTAGCTGGAATGGCAGCAACATCAACAGCTAGTGGTGGAAAGTTTGACAAGAAGTTGCCAGGTGAAAAACCTGCAAAACATCCTGGGAAGTATCGTAAGGTTTGTATTTATTTAGGATTCCATCCAAACTGCCATTTTTGTCTATGGTAAAAGAGATATTGAGGATGACAATTATTTATTTCTTCCCTTTGTTTCCCTGCAGTTCCTCCCTGTTGTGGAAGGAACAGGAATGGGCTCACAAGAGAAGCAGCAGACTGACAAAGTTCTGAGCAAGCTACTGTCCAAGCACTCTCATGAGATACTGGATGTTAATAAGGTGAGCAACCATTTAGGCATTTACCTTGTTATATGCCAGGTTCTTATTTCCTACTCCTGTTCTTTATTTTCTTCTAAGGTTATTAGCCCCTAATTCCTGCTCATTTCCATTCTTCTTTTATATTTTGCTTATCTGCAATATTGTGTGGTGTTTTTTTTTTTTACAAAATAGGCTGTTACGATGTTCAATGTGAAGAAAGAGAAGAAGCGAAAGAATCAGCAAGGGAAATTTTCTTCGACCTCAAGCAAATTGAAACCAAAAAAGGCAGCTCATAAGAAATCATCAAAGAAAGGATTTTCAAAGAAGGGGTCGTCAAAGGGACAGACTAAATGAAATTAGTATCTTCACCCAAAAAAAGAAAAGAAAGAAGTTAGTATAGTATAGTGAAATGTGAAGTGTGTTAAGACCTGAATAGTATTTGCTTTGTTGTTAATTATTTGCTTTTTATAATTTTTTAGTGGGTAAACAGCAACTAACGAGAAAATTTTGTAGGCAAGTGACAAATGGAAAATTAATTCCTAGTCACTATATTTTATCGAATTGATGGAGAATAGTTTTGTGATGTTGTATCAATTATAAATAACCTGAGCATGGCCCATGGGTATTAAACTATCAGTGTTTCCATTGTTAGATCTTTCTAAAAACCTGGATTCTTAATCCTAGCTTGCTGTTTATCTTTGACAACAATGACCAGTTTGCATGCAAAAACCCTCCATTGAATGGACAAGAAGGAAAATGGAAAGAAAAGGGCCCATGGGAGACCTAACACAAGTAGAACTATGGGAAAAAACAGATACAAGTATGACCCTATTTGGCGGTACTTTGTATCTTGTTCTTTCAATAGTATAAAGTACATTTAATGCTTCTACTTTCCTCTTTTTACTTTAAAAACTGTTTGGTTCAAAAAATTTCAAAATTAAACAGAGTAGAGTGTGCTATCCTATTCCATACGTTATTTTTGAAATTTAATGTACATTTCACATGCCACGTGTTTAGTATCATCATACCATTTACACATGTCAACGTGACTTGGGGAACCTGCCACATCCTCCACATCATGCCATGTGGTAGTAATATACAATGTCGTTAATGAACTCATGCAAAGGAATAAGATTTTTTTTTTTTTTTTTCATTCAGTAAATCAGTAATGTATACCACCAATGTTTCTCTCTAGCATGGCTTGCACTTGCCGGTTGTGACATGGGACACACGCCATGTGGCATTCTTATTATCCCACGTGGCAGTAACTTGAATAACTACATTACAAATTGAATATTTTAGAATAATACACGTGGAATAAAATGACTTCTCTCATGCCATTACAAACAGTCTCAAACATAAGTTCACGCATGAATTGGGAATTTTCTATATTTTCTATTACTAATAAGGTAATAATAATCTGACCCATCTTCTCCCCATATATAAAAATTATCATATTTCAATAATAAAGCATCTTCTTCCCAATCTTCCTTTCTCCTTATTTTTTTTCTTATTCATCGATTACTTCATTTATAGCTTTTTCAGAAGGCAATTCTCTAATTACTTTTTGGAGGCCTTCGCGGGTGTTTCGTTTCTAGCACCTCTTTCATACGGTAAATTAATTCGTTCACTTCTAACTTGAGAGTGCTCAACTCATTCAGTCATTTGAGGTGTTGGCGTTGGTGTCCATATCTGTGAATGAATGTCAATTGTATGTATTAGGTGAATATCTATATGATGAACAATATAACCAAAATCAAATAAGCAAACAATAGTTAACAAACATGTCATTCTTCAACCATTAAAACTCAACAATTCAAACTCAAATCCATGCGACTTATTAGAAAAGTCTGGCAAGTCTAACACAAAATGGTCTCAGATCGATGTAATTGTGCAATGTACAACATGTAAAACTATTCTAATTTGGTTCTTTAACTTGTATGGAGGCATGAGTTTAAGTATGGGGAATCGAGCTTTGAGCATGCCAAAGCATCGCTCAGTAACACTCCACAATGAAAATAGCAAGTGGTTGAAGCATTCTCTTGTGCTTCTTGGATGACCCTCTTCTGTAAACTTGAATAGCTGGTATTGTTCTCCTCAATACTGGCACAAGAAGTAGTCATCCATATTTGTGTAATCCGAATTTACTACATAATACATAATATTTGCCTATGTAAAGGATACAAGTTTAAAAGGCAAGACAAGAACCTATACCCAAGTGTAGCCGATGGAAATTAATTGAAGGATCTCCAACTCCAACTGCCTCGAGGAAAATTCTAGTTATGAGCACTACCTTCCCATCCTGCATACACAAATGTAAACATTATATTAAATGAGCATGCACACATTATATTTTATGTGATGGTAGAATGGAATTTGTTTGTCCACTAGGGCATGTGCATGAATATGGGTGCTTTCTATCGCACCAATGTAGTTTTATATGTGGACACATAAAGGATAGCAATGTTGGATGTATAAGAAATGAGTGAAATTTGTCTAAATAGATACATTGAAGTAAAGATAATACTTTGAGTTGGAATGGATCTCTCTTGGGATTATGTCCATGTTAGGCTCCCTTATATGATACTTGACCATCTTGGCCATAGTCTTCAACAAATTGTTAAAATGACAGGAGATTGTCTCCCCAAAATGTTGAAATGTATTAATAATACCATGGTTTGATTTACGATGTCCAACTGTAGCCATGAAAATACCTATTTGCTCATCTACAGACAAAAAAGATTATCACTAAGAAGTCCTCTTTCTCTTAATTCCTATAAAAGATTCATGAAGACATGTCTCTCAATCCTAAACATGTCAAGGCATTTTTCTACGTTACCATTTAAAACATTATGGATATAATCTATCCCTATGAATGAAGTGTACATAGTAATCAACCCAAACATCACTACAAGTATGAGGGCATCACCTTCCTCTTCATTGTACCATAAATCATCATCATTCATTCATTCATTGAATCAAACAAAGAGTCATCATGTCCATTATACTCATCTAATTCAGTATTGGATACTCTTTCTCTATTAGAGGGTGTGTAAGAATCATGGTCATGGTTTTATGACATGTCTATGTGGCATTCCATCAACAAACACATGAACTATTAATAAGCATTCATATGTATATGCCAACTGATGTAACCGTTTCTGGTCATGTACCAATTTTTTTGGCTAAGTACCTCGTCATTTGACCTAGCGGTGAAGTGCCTGGTGACGAACTGCCTAAAGGTAAGTTACTTGGTGACGAACTCCCTGGTGGTGAGCTACCTGGTGATGAGCTCCCTGGTGGTGAGCTACCTGGTGGTGAGCTACCTGTGAGGTGCCGAACTGCTTGGTGGCGAACTGCCTAGTGGCGAGTTGCCTGTGAGGTGGCGAGCTGCTTGGTGACAAGCTCCCTGGTGGTGAGTTGCCTGGTGACGAGCTCCCTGGTGACGAGCTCCCTGGTGGCGAACTCCCTACTATGCGGCCTGTGACTCAAAGAATGGTGGAGCTCCCTAGTGCAGCGCAACCCAACTGCCCTCTGCATGAGGTGACATTCTTTCCTTTGTAGGTAGTGGGAGCTGAGGGACCTGCGAGAACTCCATCTTTTCCTCCTCTTTGTAGGCGGTGGGAGCTGAGGGACCTGCGAGAACTGAATCAGAGGACCCGGGGGTATTTTCCCAGCGGGGACTCTCCGACGCTTAAGTTAGCACTCTGATTGTAGAGAGCTTGAAGATGATTTTGGAGAAATGAGAGAGCTAGAGAG